AAAATGTAGGAGCTTATATACTCCGTATTTTACTCATATTTATAAGTATATAGGTAATAAGCATATCCCAATTATATATAATTATATACTATCGTTCATCATACTACTAACGTGTCTCTGGCCCAAATTAAAGCATCTAATGCTCAACTGCTTTTTGACGAAAGACTTGGAGGTTATTTTGAAAATTTTATTACTGCGTGTTGATGACACTTTCTATATACAGAGTATAAATGAACGAAAGTCCTTTCATAATTACAAAGCAGTCAAAGCTGCATTCTAGTTCTAGCATAGTTACCAGATAAGTGAAATGATATTATAAAATAAATGCTTAAGATATGTTTTTGATCCCTTAGCTTTAAATTTAACTTTTAATGTTACATTTTATGATATTGATGGTCTTACTATATATTACTCACTCAGTCCCAAATTATATGATACATTTACTAATCACTTAGTCAACGTAACATAAATCACTACTGATCTTTTATTTACAGTATATCACAAGTTTATGAAATTTGAATTACTTTTTGCAGATTTTGTAGCGGTTTTAATGTAGTTTCTGAGTATGAAAATTTTATTTTCAAGAACTAATTTGAGTGTTGACAGGGATCAATTTGCTTTATCGTCAGTCAAACATCGTTAACCGTAATGTATCTTACAAATTGAGATGGTGAGAGTATATTATAAATCAGGATTTTATGATTAAGATTCATACGATAGAAGTTAAAGGGGTTGTAATAAAGATGAATGGAAGAAAGCGGTGGAAGCAGATGGCATACTAATACGATCGATCGAGACTTGGAGAAGTTTGGGAGAGAGAAGTATCGAGTGGTTAACAATTTTCTTGAATAAGATTTAGAGAAATAAGAAAAATCTAGTGAGTTGATGGAAAAGTACATTTATCTCTTATTTAAGAATAATGGTGATTTATAAGAATGTGCCAACTAACGAGATGTTGAGATCGTGAGTCACGCCATGAAATTTTGGGAACATGTGATCGAGAAAAAGCTCCAAATAAGTGTGAAAAAATCCGTGTCACGGATAATGGCCGAGACAAAATCCGTGACAAAATTATTTTGTCACGAACTTTTTACACTACAGGCCGTGACAAATCCGTGACAACCCCTGATTTTTTGTGGTGTTGATAAACTAGAAGTTTTCATGAAGCGCTCTATTGAAATCAAACTCGTAGATTATCAAATTGTCATTAAAGTTATAATGAGTGTGACATCTTTGAGCCCGTTTGGTAGCACGAAAATCGGTTGATTTGGCTGTTTTTGCTGAAATTTATGAAGTTCTGGCTGAAGTGGCTGTATTGGCTGATTCTGCTTATTTAAGAAAAAATTATTTTTTAAAATATATTTTATTAATAAAATAAAGAAAAAATTATATGTAAAAATAGCTAAAATCATTATCTAGAGTAACTTCAACCAATACAGCCAGCAAAGTAACTCCAACCTTACGTTTTCTACTTGTTACATAATTCGGCGCGCGAAACCAAAAATTACGTGTTTGGTGAAAAAGCTGGCTGATAAGTCTGATAAGCCGAAAAACAGTGGTTCCAAACGGCCTCTGTATCATTACTATATACAACTATACTTCATATGTCCCAAAAGGAAGTTTCCGTTTTGATTTACGATATTAGACTGACGATATAGCAATTTGATCCTTGTTCACATTCAGATTATTTTTAGTAAATAAAATTTACATATTCAAAAATTACATTAAAAATTTTACAAAACTTGATCAAGAAAATTTAAATTTGATAAAAAAAATGATATATATAAAACAAAAGATTATCGTTACTTAAGTTGAGCATGTGAAAAGTAAATGAGAACTTCATTTCGCGAGGGCATCAAGTATTTGTATTTACATTTCGAAACTTTTAGTTCAATTCCTCAATTATTTTTACAGTGCATTCTTGGCATTCTACTTCGAACTTTTATACTTTAATTAAATTTGACGTCAATGTGTTGTGATTGCAACAGTTTTTAGGGAGTGTGTGCAACTGCTTAAAAAAACACTCCTCAGCTTTTGGCTTATAAAAATACTTATTTATCAAACACTATCAATTTTTACTTTTTCCAACTTTTACTTTTCAAAATCACTTTTTTCTCAAACACCATCAACTTTTATTACTAATCACTTTTTCTTTACATCTCGAAAAGTGCTTTTTTTTAAGCAGAAGTAGTTATGCAATTGCAAGCACTTATTCCCTTGTTACTGTTAAAAGTGGCAAAATTGCATTTGCAGCGCTCCACACGTTTGCTAGCTGGAGTGGTAAAAGTCAAATTTTGCAGCGTACCCCACCAAAGTGTTGGACCGCGTAGTTGGCGTGGATGGAAAGCCAGTGTAACTTTTATGCAAGTGTTTCAAACGTAGATTCTTTTTTAGTCGGAAAAGTGTAAAAAGGGGGGATGAAATCCGAAATTTGGTGCGTGTAAATTATTACTCCATACTATAAGTGTATTGTAGTACTCCATCCCTCTCATTTTAGCGATCCTACTTTTCTTTTTGGACTGTCCCAAAATAAGTGTCTATTTTCCTCTTTTGGAAAGAAATATGTGGGCTACACCATTTCAATTTATTATACTCAAACCTCAACCACAATTTTTACTTTTTCAACCACTTCATTAATAATCGTGTCAAGTCAAACTAAGACACATAAAATGGGACGGAGGTAGTAGCTATTTGCTTCAAGGAAAAATATTACTATCTCCGCCTTGCTCATACGTTCTCAAAAATGGCACGGTTATTTTGATCACAATTAAATAGGGAAAAGGGACAGATAAGCCCACATACTAACCAAAATAGGTCAAATAAACCCTTATATAGGAGGCTCTGTATGGCCGTAGCCATTTGGAGCAGTTCCTGGTGCAATTTTTTGATGATTATTTTTAGCATCTTATTCATTAAGTCTAGTTACTCAAACCAAATTTCAGCTAACAATACAATCGGGAATACATTCAAATGAATTCTTGAAGATAACTGCGCTTTTTACTGCTCAGTTATATTCCAGAATTCATTTGAATGTCTTCCCTTCCGTATTGAAGTTTTAGCTGAAATTTGGTATGAGCAAACTAGACTTAATGAATAAGATGCTCAAAAAATTTCATCAAAAAATTCCACCGAGAACCGCCTTAAATGGCGACGGACGGACAGAGCCTCCTATATAAGGGCTTATTTGACCCTTTTTTGTTAGTATGCGGGCTTATTTGCCCCTTTTCTCTAATTAAATATGATCATTTGAGTATGTTGAGGTTTATTCCTTCAACCCTTGGACCCAACACGTAAGCCCAAAGATTTCGAGTGGAGTGAGTGTGTGGATATCTAGCCCAACAACTTTCAGATGGATTAGGAAACAAGAGAAATAGCAGGCAATGTAAGTAGGTATTATTAACTTCGTAATAACTCCCCTAAGTACAATCTACTCGCTAAAAAGGGCACGTCGGCCGTTCGTCTTACAAGGCACTTAGAAATGCTGCAAGTAAGAATGCTGAAGCTAGTATGCTAAGAATAGAAAGTTGCCAACCCTTTACAATGAAATAAATGCTTCTATTTATACCCGCCAATGGGCAGGTAGCTATGCTGACGTGGAAGCCTGTGGACCGCTTGTGTCCCAACCACCAAATCTTCAGCATTTAATGCACTTCCCGCCAGAATCTAGGTTTCCCGCCTGATTAGTGGGGACGTTCGTCCGCCCGGGAAGTGAGTTGGATTGCTCCAGGTGACCCTCCGGAGATACCGGCTGTTCGTCTCCTGGTCTTGTAGATATTCACCATGTGGACTGGGTCCCCTCCGATGACTACAGGCTTGCCCTGGAGACGTTCGTCGCCATCCCTGGTGGCCCGTGGCCCTGCTCCTTGTCCCTGCACAGACGTTCGTCGGGATGAGTCTGCTGGGCCTGAGCCCCCAACACCAGACGTTCGTCCATCCTCAAGGGACATGGGCCTATGGGCTGGCCTGGTGTTCTAACTGGACGTGCGTCTGGCAATATGGGTTAGTGGGCCGGACCTCGGCTTGGGCCCTTAACCCAACACAAGTCCCCCACTTCTGATGTTCTGGGCTCGCGCAGGACATAAGGAAGTAGGAATCCCCTCAAGGTAGACGTTCGTGTCTTGATATTTTGTGTTTCCGGCACCCGTTGGAAGCGTACGCTCGTGGTCATGGTGCTTGACAGCTGTCGACGGTTCAGGAAACGAGGTGACGGCTGATGTTGCGGCGGAGCATTTCCCGAGGAAATGTCATCATTACGTTTTTGCCCCACGCACAGCGCGTGGGCCGAAATACGCTCCTTGCCACGTGTCAGCCCCTCGTTGGCTTCCCCATCGGTGTTCTCTCCTATAAATGCCGGGTTTTCCCTCTGAATTAGGGTTCCCAATTTCTGCTCTCTTGCTCTCGATTTTCCGCAGCTCTTCAAGTCTTCTTCTGAATTCGGCTAACCCCTTTGTAAGGTAATTTCCCCCCTCTGCTTCTTTTCTTGTTCTGATTCTTAGCCGAAATGACTTCGATGGAGATTTCGTCAAGCTCTGATTCCGGTTCGTCGGGTTCCTCCTCGGGCTCCTCTTCGGTCGATGTGAGTGCGCGCTCCCCCGGGAAGGCCAGTATTTCCGGGACCTCTGGTTCGGCCACGACGGTGGGGACCATCCGAGCTGATGGCGAGCCGGATGATGTGTCCCAAAGTAGTGGGAGCGATGCCGGGGACGGGGGTGCTGACGGGGCAGTAGATGTGATTGACGCAGTCCCCCTGAATGAGCGCCCTGCTGATTATGATTCTGGAGAGGAGGCCGAATCCGGTTCCGATATGGAGGTGTATGACCTGGGCATCCCTACGGATATGGAGCGCCACATCTGCCCGATCAGGAGCGCCCTTGACCATGACCAGGTCCTCTCCCGTGTGGCCCTCAACAAAATCCGTACCTTCTTCCCCCCGCCGTTCGTCTGGAGCGTGAGAGGCGCTGAACACGTGATGAAGAGACGTCCGGGGATGATCGTGCTTCATTTGGACTCCGTTGAAGCCGGGCTGCGGTTCCCGCTCCATCCGTTCTATGTGGAATTCTTCCACTGCTTCCAGGTGGCCCCGGCGCAGTTCATGCCAAATTCCTATAGGTTCATATCTGCCTTTCTGGTGCGCTGCAAACTAGCGGGAGCCACTGCCACCCTGGAGCTTTTCCACTACTTCTATCGCATCACTCCCCAGAACTCCGATGGTTATCTGAGCGTGGCCGCACGTCCAGGAAGGAAGCTTTTCAAGAACTACCCTTCGTCCATCCACGACTGGAAGAACCGCTTCTTCTTTCTTAGATATGATGGGCCTCCCCTCCCAGTTCGATGGAATGGTTATCCCCCAAAGATTGAGTCACCGGAGCCGTCCGACGATCTATTTGGGGATGTGGAGAAGGTGTTGGAGGGTGGCGTCCGTCCAATAGCCGAATACCTGACCTTCGAGGCACTCTCCGGGGCAGGCATAGGTACCGCCCGTGTCCCTGGACTCTTTTCCACCCTCCGACGCTCGTCTCGTGGCACCGGGCGGTCCTGTCCTTCGAGGTGAGTGTCCTATTGTATTCTCCGCTCGTCTTCTAATCCTTTGTTGTTTCTTGCAGGTTCACCACCAGATAGAGATCAGATGAATCATGCCGAGTGCCTGAAGACGAGGAAGGCCAAGGCGGCCGCTGCTAAAGCCGCACTGGCGAAAGCCAAAAACGCCCCCGCCTCGGAGTCCAACTCCTCGGCTTCTGATGCTGCCCGGCGAACTGCTGAGGGTGAACAGCACCTGATCGCCACTGTGCTGGCTCAGGGTTCTGGGGCCCCTGCTCTGGAAGCGGCCCTTCCACCGCCGGTCGTCCCGTCGAAGGCGGCTCCTCAAAAGGGGACGGAGAAGGTCCCCGAGAAGAAACAGAAGAGGGGCCGCGAGGCAGGCTCCACCGGGCCCCTGCTTGAAGACGCCGGCTCTTTGCCATTGCGCCGCCCGGCGGAAGAACTGTGGAGGGAGATGGCCCTCCAGGCCGGTCTTGAACTGCCCCGCCATTCGTCTTCTGAGGCGACCAGCGCTGCCCTGGCGGCCGCTCTTCAGGTAATTCCTCAGTGCTAGATCTGAGTACATTCGCTCCTTGACGTTCATCTCCTGATCGTTATTTTCTCTTCTGTCATCCAGTCTGGACTTCTAGTCCTTCAGGCTGAAGCTGCCAGGGAGGCCGATCTGAAGGAAGCCAAGGCCAAGGCTGATGCGGCCGTTGCTACGGCCCGGGAGGCCGCCCGTCGAGCTGAGGCGGAGGCTGCAGCCAAGGGGAGGGAGATTGCAGCCCTGCAGGCTGAATCCCGCAGCCAACTGGCCGGTCTCGAGAGAGCCGGTTTCAAGCTTGTTCCGGTGCTCCCTGCCGCCAAGGATGCCACTCCGGAGTGGTTGGTCGATACTTCCGGCTACAGGAACACCGGTGAATTCATGGATTCCGCCAAGGATTATTGCGCCGGGGCCTTCGGTGATGTATTCTCTGCGGCGCTGGCGAAGATCCCACCCCGGCAGCGTCTGGCGAGCGGGGTCCGGATTTTGGAGAGCTCCCCCTTGTCCCACAAGTTCCTCTACGAGGTCGGCGACAGCACCTTCGCCGCCGGCTACAACGAGGGGGTTAAGGCCACTCTCCCCATCTTCTCGAGGTTGCAAGGGGCTGATTTTGAGCTGGCCGCGAACACGGATGATGATCTGCTGCTTCAAGCCCTGGGGAAGCTGGGGAGGGACTAACGGCGGGCGGAAGCAAAGGCCAGAGGGGAGATTCCAGAACCCCCTACCCCTGAGCCCGAGGCCGAGGAGGAAGAGCAGATTCCGGGAGGCAGCCGGCTTGGGTCCCCTTTCTTCGTATAATGTAAATTGTATTTTCCCATTCATGCTTTTGTAATGTCCGGCCGTTAGAGCCGAAGAATATACATGCCCTTTTGCCCAAAATTATCTCTACGCTCATGATCTTTTACTTCACACTTGTACTTTTGTTGTATGGAAACTCCCCTTGTGTTTCGATATTCTCTGTTGCATAGTCTGCGTGGACGTTCATCTCTGTTCCCCACTTGGTTTGGGGGCATGGGCGTCTCTTTGCCAAAACCCCGTACACATTAGTGCGCGGCGCCAGTGTTAAGGTCCGTCTTCGGATGGCGACACCCAGCGCCGATGCCGGCTGCCCCTCCTGCACAGCATCCTGATGGCGAGACGACGTTCGTCAGGGGTTGGCCAAACAGCACACTTTGCAAGTGTGGTCATACGCACGTCGGAGATTGCCTCAATGCTTGCTAACGACGTTCATCTACTGTCGCGCGGCATGAATGCTAAAGCTTTCGAGCAAGGATGTCCGTCTGTCCTGCATGTTCAACTGGCATGGAGTGTGGAAAGGCGACGTTCATCCTCCGTGCGTCCCCTAAGGACATGATTTTATTTCATCATTTCGTGTCCTCCATCGTTTGTAGCATAAGAAATCCTTCCGGCGCCTCGACACACATCTGTCGCACGGCGTCCTCCTACCGAGGCCGGCTTGCCGTCCACACGATATTCCGACAATGGGAAGACGCTCGTCGGTAGCTGTCTTGACAGTACGCTCTTCTCAAGTATGGACGTACGGACGTATTTCCCTGAACCAGCGCCCGGTGACGACGTTCGTCGACGGTTGCGTGACATGGAAAACCGGGGTACCGCAAGACGAACGTAACCGGTTATTGCGTGTGTCCTCATCAACCGCCGGTGTTAGGGACAGCCGGAGACTTACGGAAATACGGAAAGACAATGTCTCCAAATCCCGCCGAGCCGGTAAGCCCTCTTCAAGGGACGTCCGTGGCACGGACCCGGGTGTCCTTGTGGCGATTATGTGGCGACGAAATCGAGGTGCCTTAAATGCCGTGGTAGGTACCGGTATCCAGGCGCCACGTGTCCTGCTTCGGTTGGCGCGATTCCGCGGTGTCGCCTATAAGTACCCAGAGCCCATGTGATCCACTCACATTTCTCCTTACGCTGCACAATTGTCTTCTCTCTCTCTAGACCTCTCTCAAACCGTGTCGGAAATCTCGAACCCAAAAGGTACCGTTCGTTGTCATGTCTTCCGAGAGTCGCTTTGACGATGGATGTTCTTCCGGCGATGACTTGGAATATTATGAGCGGGGAATGCCACCCCGGCCTCCCCGTTATAGCCTCAGCTTCTCGTGCGTTCGGCGCCAAGTTCAACGCCTGACGAATGCTGACAAGGGACTGATCAGTCAATGGTTTTATCCCCCAAGGACCTACGACGATCGGCGTCTTCGGAACCCCATGCGCCATCTGCCCGGCTATGTGGTGGTCCACTTGGATTCGGTGATAGCCGGGCTGAACTTTCCCTTACATAGCTTCCACTTAGAGCTCTTCAGGGCCCTTGAGATAGTGCCTGCGCAGTTCGTCCCTGCCGCCTATCGGATAATCGCTGGCTTCATTATTAGATGCCACAGCGTCGGTGTGACCCCCACCGTGGACCTGCTGCACCATTTCTTCCGGCTGTCCCCCTTCGGACGCACGGGGTATCTGACCCTGATCGCCCGTCCGTCCATGGTCCTATTCTCGAACAATGCTGGGAATCCGGATGGTTGGGAAGAGCGCTTCTTCCTGGCCGGAGTAGGCTCACCGATGCCATTCTCTGACCGGTGGAATGCTTACCCGGTGAAGACGATCCCGCCGCCCATGACGGACGAGGAGCTCGGATATGCCAAGCGCATAGCCGGACTTGGCATCCAGAACCTCCGGTTGCTGGTGGCCGAGCCTTTCAAGGCTCGGGCTGGGTTAGGTGCGTCCGTTTGTACTTGTATTGTTTTAACCTCTCTCCACTGTTATGGCTCTGAACGTCTTGGTTCCCTTTGTGCAGGAATTTTTCCCTCCACGTCTACGATGAGCCGAGTCAACGCTGCTTCGACTGCCGCCGGCCGTGAGCACAAGGGGCATGACAAGCCCGGGAAGCCGCTCGTCCCCAAGGTCGAACCTCGGGTGACCAGGGCACGAGCTGATGACGCTTCGGGGGCCGGCGCCTCCAAGAGGCCACGTGTTGAGGGCACCTCCTCCAAGGCCATCATCGTGGCCGATGACTCCGATGGGGAGCCCGGAAGTCCCCTCAAGCGGAAGCGCACTACGCGGACCAATCTCCGTGCCTCTCCTCCGAGGAACTCCGACGTCCGCCGTCTCCGGGATGATGATACCCCAACCGCCAAAGGTTCTGACGACGCCCGTCCAAACTCTCCCCCAGGAGCCAGTGAGTCTTCTCTTGGCCTGATCGAGTTTTCTGGGGTTGGCCCCCGCAAGGAGTCTATGATGCTCTTCGGCCAGACAGCGTCCTCCATCTGGTGCGGCCTGAATCTCAAGGTCCCCCAGGATTTTGCTGCTCAGGAGGCACCCGAAGACCTCCTGGAGTGTGGTCAGAGCACTCTGGATAAGGCCGGGCTCTACTTCCACAGGGCTCGGATGGCTTTTGAGCATCAGGGCAGGGAGATGGCCAGAGTCCGGGCCGAATGTGACGCCCTCCTGAAGAATGCAAAAGGCAGGGCCGGAACTCTTCAAGAGAAGGCCGATGCCTACGACAAGCTCGTCCAGGAGAATGCCTCTCAGAAGGAGCTCCTTAAAAAGCAGGAGGCCGAGCTTGTGGATCTCCGCAGCCGGATGTGGGCCGTAGAGCAGGCCAAGGTGGAGCTCCGCCGTACGGGCGTGGACAATCATGTCCCTATATACGAGGCCGATGTCGCCAAGATCAAGGAGTCTGGATCCATAGCGTTCCAAAGATCCAAAGCTTACACTGGCGCCATCCACACTATGGCCATGAAGTTTCTCCCGAGGCTCGTCGGAGAATTTCTAGCCACCTGCCCGGACGCCTATCTGGATGGGGTCAAATTGCTCCAGGCCACCCCCACCGGACGACGTTTCCTTGATGATCTTGCCGATGATACCTATCGCAAGGGCATGGTTGGGCTCGTAGCGGAGAATCTCCCCACGTTCGAGCGTCATTTCGGGGCTCCTTTCGATCCGGAGGCGGCTGGCTTTGATGTTCTGATGGCGGACGCTCATGCGGGGGCCCTCGAGCTGCTGAAGGAGCAGGCGGAAGCCAAAGCTAGTGAAGAATGCAAGCAGGCTCTTTCCAAAGTTCCAGCTCCGGACGTCGATCGAAAGTGATTCTCTGTTCATGACCTTGTACTTGTACAATTTTTCCCATTATTTTCATTGTCTTGTAATTTCCCGGCCAATAGTGCCGAAGAATAAAAAAGAATCATTCTTTGCTCCTTGATCTTCTGGCATTTTTTTTTTTTGGAGTCTTTTAGTCTTCGTTCGTCCTTGGTCCCTGGTCCCACCGGCGTCCCTACTTCGAGGAGACGTTCGGTGTCCGCCGACATCGCAAGGATGAACAGGTTTATCTACATCGAGATCCCCCCCTTTTTTCGTTCGTCCGTGGTCCTTTTAGCCTTACCGACGTCTCTTGCTTCGAAGAGGACGTTCGGTACCCAAGGACTCGCAGGGACGAACAGGTCTACCCTCACGGGTCCCCGACTTTGTTACCCCACATCCATCGATCCATGGTCGTTTGTGGGATAAACAGGTTTATCTTGGCAGGCTCCCTTGGTTCGTCTAGCCCCCTCCGCGTCTCTACTAACCTCTACACCGAGAGGCGTTCGTCTTCGGCGGTTGGAGAAGATCTGGCACACCCGGGCAAGATTCCCTTCTACATAGGAGCTCCTCTCCTCTTCTCCCCATTTTTTTTTTTTTTTGGGGGGGTGGAGGCAATCCATACTCTTCGCTCGTCATTGGTCCCTGGTCCTACCGGCGTTCCTACTTCGAGGAGACGTCCGGTATCCGCCGACATCTCAATGAGGAACAGGTTTATCTGCATCGAGATTCCCTGGTGCTTCGTTCGTCCTCGGTCCCTGGTCCCACCGGCGTCCCTACTTCGAGGAGACGTTCGGTGTCCGCCGACATCGCAAGGATGAACAGGTTTATCTACATCGAGATTCCCTGGTGCTTCGTTCGTCCTTGGTCCTTG